ACTCTTCATTTTTTATTAAAACTTCGTAAAAGCAATATGTGCAAGTACTTTAACGGTTAAGAAGTTTTTCTGGTCAATTAGGAAAGAAAAACTCTCTATCTAATTGATTAGACCATTTATCTAATTGGTTAGAAGCAAAAGTAATGCCTAAGGAAGCCTTGTAATAGATTAATTGACGTTGCAAATAAGGACTTCCTTTTTTGGCTTAACCTAGTCGATTATGTTGATGTTTCAATTGATTAAGAAGCAAAAAAAGTCCATGGATAGTTTCCTCTTTTAGCCAGATTTTTTCCTATGTAAATGAGTGATTTCCTCACTTCTAAAACCACCAGTTTTGTGAACTACTACTCTTTTATCTCACTCATTCTCAATATTTTATAAGCTTTTATTTATGTAGATTGTATTAATGATGAGAGAGTGAAAAAATCATTTGAGAGTTGTGTTCTTTTAATGTTGAATTGTAATTGATTTTTCAAAAACTTAGTTCTCTTGTGATCTTGTAATAGATTTGAAAGTTGCAAGGTAAACCTGTAAAAATCTTGGTGTAATTTTGTTGAGTTGAACTTATGTAAAAGCTCAAGTTCTTTATGTAAGGTTGTTGGGTTGAACCAGTTGAAAGCTCAAATTGTTGGTGTAAGGTTACTAAGATGAACCTATGTGAAAGCTCAAGTGTTTAGTGGAAATCTCAAGAGAAAAATCTCGGAGATTGGAATATGTTACTTGGTTTAACTTGAACGAGGATAATATCTATTGTGATTTACCAACCCTTATATTTTTATATTTCTATCATTTGTCTATTCCACTTCTTAATCTATGTTTCTATATTTTTCTTAACTTAAACCTTTTTATATAAAGTTTTTGGAATCACAACTCACTCCCCCCCCCCCCCCCCCCCCCCCATTCACTCTTGTGCTCGGAGTCACTTAATCAACATTTTTTTATCCCCTAATATAAGCCTAAGAGCTAACTAGGAAATCCAAGTTGGTGAAAAATATCAAGTCGAAGCCCAAACTTGGGAAAAGGCCCAATAAAGCAGCCCCAATGATAAGGGAACAACCCAATACATCATCACAGAAGGTTGATCAATAAGACAACATAGACAAATCTTGTATAGGAATCATATCATTCTTTTATTAACATATGTCAACATACATTTTACCATTTTTCCACTTATCAACATATCTACAATATACTAGACTACTCGACTAAGTTTTTCCATCCTGAAGGACACTATTCATAACCTTTGTCCTTAAGCATTGTTAAGTTCATGTCTATATCACAATAGTTACTCATTATTACTCATTACTTAGGTTTAATTAAACCGATATTAACCTTAGAATTTTCTTATACTTTCCATTTCATGTCTCATCTTCACTAACCATTACTTATTCATATTCCTAAATTCATGCTTAATTACTCAACACATGGTCTATTTCCTAAGTGTTTAATGCTTACTTGATTCATAACAAGTCTTGCTTAATCTTAATCTTAAATTTTATACTCGATTTGATCACTTCTTAATCATATATTACCTTTTTTTTTATAAGTCATTCTCCCATGATAATTAAGTCTAGGATTACCACATTAGTATTAAGGATCAATAGATATCTTAAATTATTGTTTTGGAGCATACAAATAAGATTTTTGGGAGAAATTATGAGCTCTTGATTCGAATCATGCAACCCTCGTGATTTGGATCACAAATCCAAGGGGTGTATTCCTGACACTATGATTTAAATCGTACATCGTCGGATCCGAGTCACAAATCTAACAGCATAAAAAATAACACTTTTACACTTCTAAACCATCCTCTAACACATAGTAATGCTACTCAAACATCATGAATCATTCAAGTGTTTTTATATAATCAAAGTATACATGATCCATAAAAAATCTCAACACAACAAGGTTGATAATCCTAAAGTTCATAATGTTTTATAACATACTATTCATTAAAAGTTCTATATGCTATCATGCAGGAGAAATCAACACTTTCCCCACAATTCATCAAGTTTATTTATTCCATTTGAAATCTTAACCTTATCCTATATAATATGAAAGCCTAAGAAGGAATCCAACCTGAAAATTAAACGAAGATTGATGACGACTCATTGCCATATCTCTCGATGCAAACCCCTAAAATCAAGCTTAATCCTCCATGAAGTTGAACCCATCTCTTTTGCCTTAATTTAGCTGGAATATGATCATCTCCTTTCTCTAGAAGATAACACTGAATCTGAATAAAAAAGAGCAACATAAACAGAGAAATAAAGTAACATCAATTTCCAATGGATGAATAACTAAAATCTTAAGTGTTTATAAAACAATCTACATAACAAAAACACAAGTAGAAAACTCTAACCTATATAAAGCTCATGAGATATCAAAAAATAGTAAACATCATTTATGAGTTATAAATAAAATATAATCTCAAACTTCTTTCCAAAATCAGCAGAAAATTACTTCTTTAAATCTATAGTATTTAACTTGAACAGCCCTAAAAAAAATGACATATTTACCAATATTATATGTTATACTCTTCAATGATATCTGAAGCAAAAATTAGAGAGGGGTAAAAATGTAGAAACGAGGTATAAATCAAAATGCAAATATACACTGATAATTATATCCCCTTTACAACTACACCCATCAACTTTTTCAAAGAATCATTATAATAATGGAAACTAGTACCATCACCTATATCCCAAGTCATACCATAACTGCCATATATCCTCCCTCTTTTCTGTCATACCTCTTCTCATACATCTTCATTTGTGACGTCGTGAGTCTTCGAAGTTCTTCCACTATAGTTTTCTTTTTCTAAAAGTTCTCCATTGTTCATCAAAATTAATTAAGACATTACTACAAAATATATCTTTGGTAACACTATATTACTGCAGTCGTTTAAACAACCATAGTAATAACTTATTTTCATGCGCGTGAATTTTTTATTATTTTATTAAAAAACATTTCATCACGTCTATTACCACAGTTAGTACTCAAAACCGTTATGAATACCGTTATGAATAGTACTTATATATATATATATATATATATATATATATATATATATATATATATATATATATATATATATATATATATATATATATATATATATATATATATATATATATATATATATATATATATATATATCATCGCTTATAATTTCAATATACTGATTCTGCTGTACTTACTGGTATCATCGCTTGGTAACAAAACTAAGGTATTTTTCTTAATCCAACTATTTGTCAATGACAATTAGTGGCTAAACTTTTTTGTTGTGGAAGGTTAGATAACTTAGACGAAACTAAGTAAGTAGGTTCTTCTCTTAAAATTAGTATATTTATATCATGGCAACAAGTAATAAGGGTTTATTCAAAACTAAAGATGTTTTTTAGTGTTTTCTTAAACTCATCATTTTTTCCCAATGAAGGGAGTGTTAAGATGATTTTGAAAAGAAAATTTTTGCTAAAAAACATTGGACATCTTTGATTTAGGAGACATCCTTCTATCCCTTAGGGTTGATAGTTAAATAACGTTTTTATTTGCAAAGATGACTTATCAGTTGTTGCCTAGATATATTTGTACTAAGATTGTGAGTTAATTTTACCTACTTAGTTTTACCTAAGGTAGCTAATCATCCACAACATATTTAGTCTGCCATATTTATGGATTCTGATGATGATAATCATCAAAATAATTTGATTAAACATGAAGAACTTATGAAATATCCAAAAAAAATGGATAAACTTAATAAATGGACAATTTCATCCGTACCTTCAAATCAAATTTATAAATTTGGTAAAATAGATTTATTATCTCGCTTTGCTGTAAAAAGCTTAGAACAAACTATTCAAATTTCTGAAAGTACTCAGACAGTTAAACTTTTAACAAAAAAGGATTTACTTCCTTTTAAAAATTATAATTATATCCATGTTGGTTTAATACAAGTTGATGTTAAACCTTTGACTTTGCTAGGATTAAATACTAGCATCCTGGGATATATTAGAGATGGTAGATGTAAAGCTTTTAAACAATCTTTAGCTGCTTTAATTGAGACAAGTTTGTGACATGGACTAATTTATTTTGATGTCTCTCCCAATAAGTTTATCCATGACTGATAAAAATTTGTTAGATGCCCTTCAATTAACTATTCATACCAATGGTTACAATTTTAAACAAGGTAGTGAAATAATAGCTATATGTTACAGGGTTTATTACAAAGTTCTTACCACTTTAAACCCTAAAGCTAAACAAATATCGTTTCCAAGAACTACTACTTTAGTTCAAACTAATTTGATAACATCTAGTATTGCAACTAATAGGTTGCTAAAATTGGATGAAATTAATTTTCCTGAAACCTGGAACCTTCCTCAGGCCATAGAACCTGAACCTGTCCTTAATAAGGATGTTGATCAAATAATCCAGTCTAGTGAAGGAGATTTGGAAATAAACTTTAACTCTAAAAGAATTATTAGAATACTCAGATCTATGTCTGGAAGACATTCGGTGAATTCCATAAATGAGTTTTACTCTGCTCCTAGTCAATTACCTAGATCTTCTATTTCTCAATTAAGAGAAGAAATAGAGGTAGTCGAAAATATAAGACTTAGCGAAAATAAAATTCCCCATGGAATATATCAAAAATCAAATCTTCCTAGAGTAGAATCATCTACTTCCTCAGACATGGACTTCCCGTTATAATGTTAGATTATTCCTCAGGTAGTAATCTAAGAAACCTTGTCAATGACGAGTTTCAGCATGAAAGATACACTCAATTTAGAAAATGGTTTTTTAAAACTTTTTCTGCCCCTGTATTAGCAAGTTTTAAAGATGAGTACTATACTCAGATGTCTATGAACCAAGATTTCATTCCCTTTGCCAAATTGTTCATTAGGTACTTTATAAGTAAACAAAAGGAAGAGTTGGTTTTTATAAAACAAAACGAATTGTTAGTTCTACAAAAACCTTGGGAAAATATCAAAGGAGAAAGAATGGAATCTCCTTTTTCCCCTGATCAAATAATAAGTTTGGGTCCTCATATAGAGGCTACACCTTATCTTACCCTTCAAAGGGTTGAACAAAATCAGATGATTCTTAAAGATTTAAATTCCATAATCAAATCCAATCATTATACTAATTCCTACCTTGTTTGCCTAGGAGAACAATTTATTTCTCTAGAAAAGGAACTCTTATCCATGAAGGACCTTTTAGACAAACAAATAGCTCGTCAAAAGATTATCATTGACCTTATTAATAAGCCTAAACCTCAAGAACAAGCTTCTACATCTAATATTTCAGATGTTCCTATAATTCCACCTATTATTCCTATAGAAGGATTTAAAATGGAAACTAACGGTGATGAGTTTGTCTGTATTCTTGAGAAAAAGCTTAAAGATTTACATTTAACGGTGATGTCTAATCAAGACTCTTCTAATAAAGAATAAATTAATGATTTAGCAAATATGTTTGCTGACTTAGACATAAGTAATCAAAATATTAATGAGATAAACCCTGTTTATACCTCTAAACCTTTAGAGAAATGCTATTATAAGTGTCCTTCTCCTCAAGATTTACTTTTTGAAGAACCTGAACCCTTCCAAAATTCGTATTCTGGAAAAGTCACTTATGAATGGAACATTGATGGGTTAAATGACAAACAAATCCTTGATAAAATACATAGAATGATTATGTATTCCACTGTTTGTAAACAAAACCGAAATTTCGACGGAGATATTGCCACCTTTATATCCACTGGATTTGTTGGTCAATTAAGAGGCTGGTGGGATCATTATCTCACCGATAGTCAGAAAAAGGATATTCTTGACCATAAGAAAATGATTAAGTCCGAAGCTCCTGTAATCGGAGCAAGTGGTGTTGCCACCACAGGCAAAGAAGATGCGGTTTATACACTGTGTCTCTTTATCCTTCAGCATTTTGTTGGAACCAATATCCCTATTGGAGAAAAAATTCAAACTCTACTCCAAAATCTAAGATGTCCTTCCCTTACACATTTTAGATGGTACAAACACACATTTTTGTCTAGAATTTATCAATTAAAAAACCCAAATTCTATCCATTGGAAAGTCAAATTTATTGATGGTTTACCCCATTTCTTTTCTGAAAAGGTTAGACATTCTTTAAGAAGTAAAAATGATGGGATAAATACTAACTGTCCTGATCTTACCTATGGTCAAATTATAAGCACTTGTGTTAATGAAGGATTAACTTTATGTAATGATATTAAGCTTTAAAATCAGTTTAAGAAACAAAAACTTTCTGAAAAACACCAAATGGGTAAATTATGTGATCAGTTCGCCTTCGATCATGGTAGATCCTCTGTGAATAAAAAGAAAAAGGAAAAAAATTCAGGAATAAACCTCATAAAAATAAGGATAACTATAAAAATTCTTAAAAGAAGAATAAGAAAAGAAGTCACTTTAATAAAAGTATACCAAAAGAAAATACCTTTATTCAGGCAAAAGAAAAGCTAAAATGCTTGATGTATCTTGCCACAAATGTGGTAAAGCTGGTCACTATACAAACCAATGTTGGACCAAAAAAGCTCTCAATGAGATCGAGGATGAACAATTACGCTCTCAACTTGAGAAAGTTTGTTTACTCAAGTCTGACTCAGAAACTAATTCTTCTAATGAAGATATTGACATGATCTATGAATCATCATCAGATTATTCCTCTGATAATTCTGACAATAATAATTGTCAATGTAATCAAATTGATTACTGGAAGTCTATTGTTGACATGAATGGTCTTAATGTTCTTACTACAGAACAAGATGAAGCCATAAAGGCTATTGAGTCGATTTCTGATAATAACCTTAAAAGAAAAATGCTTGAAGTTTTAATTAAAGAAAATTCTAAAAAAGAATCTCCTATTATTAGTGAAGCACCCTACCAATTAAGTGAGGTTTTGTCCAGATTTCAGCAATCCAATATCCGTGAAACTCCTGTTTCCCTTACTGATTTAAATAGAGAAATTAATCTTTTGAAATCTGAAATTACTCAGATAAAGAAAGATAATAAAAAATTATCTCAAAGGGTTTCCTTGCTTGAAACAGGTAACCTTAAAGTTGAAGAAATATCCTATATTCTACTAATGATATATTTCTCACTCTTATTGATAGAGTAATTTCTTAAAAATGGTTTGCTAAAATAACTTTAGCTATTAACAGAATGTTTATTTTAGAAAATGAAGTCGTCCTTATTGATAGTGGCGCTGACCTTAATTGTCTACAGGAAGAAATTGTTCCTACCAAGTATTATACAAAAATCACTCAAACCCTTGCTCAGGCTAGTGGTGACAAATTAACGGTTAATTATAAATAACCTAATACATACGTTTGTAATCAAGATATTTGTTTACCTACCCATTTCATCTTAGTTAAAAACATGACTCATAGAGTTATTCTTGGAACTCCTTTTTTAAATAGCATTATGCCTTTAACTAATGTTGACACTAAAGGCATTACTACCATGATTAATGATAAAACTGTCACTTTTGAATTTATTATTGATCTTCATATTAAAATGCTTAATGAAGTTAAAAGTATTCTCTTAAATAAAGAAAAACAATTAGGTTTTCTTAAAGAGAGAGTTAGTTTATTAAATATTAATGAACAACTTAATAAAAATGAGATAAGAGAACAAATCAAATTGATTGAGAACCAATTCAAAAATGAAGTGTGCAATGATTTGCCAAATGCTTTTTAGGATAGAAAGAAACATGTTATTTCTTTACCTTATCTTGATGACTTTAATGAAAGTCAGATTCTCACCAAAGTTAGGTCTGCTCAAATGAACCATGAGTATTTGGAGTTATGCAAAAAAGAGATAGAATCTATTTTAGAGAGAAAAAAATTGATAAGAAAATCCAAATCTCCTTGGAGTTGCACAACATTTTATCCTATTCCTAATAAAAAAAGACCTTTTAGATAGATTAAACAATGTTTCAATCTTCTCTAAGTTTGATATGAAATCTGGCTATTGGCAAATTCAGATTAATAAATATGATAAGTATAAAACAACCTTTACTGTGTCTTTTGAACATTATGAATGGAATGTCCTTCCTTTTCGCCTTAAAAATTCCCCTTCTGAATTTCAAAATATTATGAATGATATTTTTAATCCTTATACAGAATTTATAATTGTCTATACTGATGATGTCTTAGTTTTTTCTAAAACTATAGATCAACATGTTAAACATTTAAAAATATTTAAAGGATTAATTAAACATAATGGATTAGTCATATCTGCTCCTAAAATGAAACTTTTTCAAACAAAAGTTAGATTTTTAGGTCATAAAATTGACCAAGGAACAATAATTCCTATACAAAGAAGTATTGAATTTGCTTCAAAATTCCCCAATATTATTACAGATAAGAAACAATTACAAAGATTTCTTGGTAGTCTTAATTACATAGCAGATTATTATAATAATCTTGCTAAAGATACTGCCATATTACATACTAGGCTTGGAAAAAATCCTGGCCCTTGGACTAATGAACATTCTCAGGTAGTCCAAAGAATTAAAAATAAGGTTAAATGTTTGCCTTGTTTATCTCTTGTTAACCCTAAGTATTTTAAAATTGTTGAAACTGATGCTTCAGACTTAGGCTATGGAGGAATCCTTAAACAGGTTATACCTGAAACATCAAAAGAAGTTCTGGTCAGATTTACTTCTGAAAAATGGAATCCTACCCAATCTAAATATTCTACTATCAAGAAAGAAATGCTTTCTATTATAAAATGTATTTCAAAATTTCTAGATGATCTTCTTAATAAGAAATTCTTATTAAAAATTGATTGCAGCTCAGCTAAATCAATTATCAAAAAAGATGTTAAAAATCTTGTTTCTAAGCAAATCTTTGCTAGCTGGAAATCTCAATTATCTATGTTTGAATTTGACATTCAACACATTAAAGGTGAGAATAATTCACTTGCTGACTACTTAACTCCTGAATTTTTGCAGGGAAAGAATGATGATCCCATATAGAGGGGCGCGGTTATGGCCATGGTGGAAGAGGGAGTAACAATATGTTACCCCAACCAGAATCAAACATTCCTCTAATAGGGGATTGGACTACGGTTTACAAAGAAAGAAAAATGAAGCAATTACCTGCATCTTCATCAAAAAAGGAAGATATAGCTTCCCCCTCTTCTAATAAAAATACATCCTACAAGGATGTTGCGGTTAATAACCCATCTCAAGAACGAATGAATTATTTTAAAAATCCAGTAACTGAAAAAATCATGTATATTGATGAAAAAGATATTAAGATAAATTCAAATGATGGATGGTCTATCAAAACCATACCTCGAATCAAGAGGATATCCAGGTCTTCATGGAAAATCTAGGCCTCGCCTAGAGATTCTTTTGTCTGTTACCGAATCGGTAACAATTACTCACCACTACCAGAACAATAATCCTGAAAGTTTTATAAACTTTAGTAAATGCCATATTAATAAAATCTTGTTACCAAGAGAATGGGGTCTTAACCCAAATGGTGAAAAGGCAATAAGGATTGCTGAAGGAAAGTATATCTACTTTAATTACTGGGACTATGTCCAAGATTTCACTCAAGCTTTTTATTACCAAAATCCTAAGAACAAGCATTCATGGTTTTTCTCTATTAATCCAGAAATGATTAATAAACCCATACCAAATTGGTTTTACGAATGGTGGACTAAATTTGGTCCGTCTTTGGAAATATTACCCAAAGAATTACTTGATTTATACAATCCCTGGTGTGATAATAGTTCACTTATTATAAATATTTTATCTGATAATTTAATCACAGGACAATATCCATTTTGGTTCTTTACCAAATTTCAGATCCCATGGATATGGAGATGGTCTATCACCATATCTCAAAATAAATTCAACATACCCATTTTAGAAAGAAATTTCTTCTATAAATGGTGGAACAAGATGAGTTCTGAAGAAATCCAGAATAAAATTATTCTAATTCAAGCAGCTATAGCTGAAGACCAAAATAATAAAGTCAAAGAGCAAGGCTCCCAACTAGACATTAACCATAAATATATAACACAATCACACATGTCCCTGGACATCACGATTTAGAAAAATACATAATTAATATAGGTTGTACCATTATGGAATAAAGTTTCCAACAATTAGCAATCAAATGACAGTCTCCTTTTGCACGTCAGAAGAATACTATCTGACTCTCTTTCATAAGGCTTCAGATAAACTTTGAATGACGATGGTTTGATTATCACTTTATTGACACAACTTGTCTATCCCGAATAACTAATTCAACTCTTTGACGTCGATAGCACAATCAAGGAGTTTATTGTATCCTTGAATTTTTTTTATAATTGTTGAAACTTCGGAGAATCATTGTCAATAGTCATAAAACTTCATTCATCTTATTTTTACTATAACCTTGAAAGAATAAGTCACATAGAAGATGCTTTTTGTTCCTTCCTTTTCATCACACAAAACTTCTAGCATGTTGTAGTGTGAATGCATGTTCATATTTGATTAGGATCACTCAATAGCGAACTTTAAAACATAGTATCAAGTTTTCGATTACACTGCATGTACCTCAAAATATTGTCAAATCAATTATGGATGAATAAACACTTAGACAATATCTTAAATACCATTAATGTTTGAAGAACATACAAGTAAAATTTTACTTTAAATTAATTTATGTAATGCATGATATGATTAATCAGACATTAGTAAATCAATGTAGATTCATTGGAATTCATTAAATTGTATAAGCTTCCAAACGATTAGAAAAAATCTTCTAAGATCGAAGGAACCATGTCCTCAATTTTTGGAGTCGTGAGACTTTGATTAAAAGCCTAGCTCTGATGTAAATTGTTGGGTGAGAATATGGACAGAAAGAGGTCTAGAATGGGGGTGAATAGAACATTTCCCTTAAGATAATTTCAAAAACATTTTAGGTCCTATAAACGAAATCGGAGATTTTAAGAAGCGTGGAAGCAAAAACACAAAAACAAGAGAGCTTGGAAACATCTCAATGAATTACACAAAATAAAATAATACAAGATGTCACTAAGTGCTTGATCGCTTCTAATGTAAATTAATTCACAAGACAACCAAAATCGTTTTAAACAAAGCGATTTAAAAATTCTTCACATAGATATTATATCAAGCCATAATTAGATTCATGATAATTCTATAAGATTGGTACACTAAATACCTAAGCCTATACATAAGCGATTTAAAAATTCTTCACATA